GCTTCCAGGGCCAGATCCCAATACGCTCGGCTGGTACCTTGCGACACCCATTCACGAGAAACTCTGATCTGAAGCTTGCTCTTGCCGACGATTAGGCTGTTAGGCTTGCTCTTACCCTGCGAGCATCACCCCCTCCTCCGCCGCCCCAGAAACACAGATCGCGTTCGCTGCCCCTCAGCGAGCTTCAAAGGCTAACATCGGCTAAGAACAAATCGAACATATATGAGATCCGGCGGCTCTGGACGATGTCTCTGAGCGTTCTGGAACGCTCTGAGAAGGGATTCATCCTCGTCCTAGCTCGGTCCGACCCCCCCCCGCAACCGGAGACCAATTCCCCAGAGCCTGCATGTTTTTGACTCTGGCAAGTTTACATGCATGGACGGGGGGGGGCTGGATATGAAGAAAGCCGCAAACAAGGTGACGTGCGGAAATCACGCAAGTCGAAAGGCACTTGCACGCTCGTATTCGACTGAAGAGGGGCGAGGGAGGGGGAGGGGGGCGCCGTGCAAGTAAACCTGCCCGAACCTAAAGGAAACAGCCTCCCTCAGATCTCGGTGCGGCTCCCGGGGGGGTCTGGCCCGCGGGAGTCCCTTGGCCCTGCGTGTGCAGCACAGGCTCACGTCGCGCCGACGTGGGCTCCACATGGGAAGATTGCGGCTTTCCCATAGCACAGGCCGGTCGATGTTGGCCGAGGACGAGGGGGAGGGGGGAGGAGGAGGAGGAGGAGGAGGAGGAGGAGGAGGAGGAGGAGGAGGAGGAGGAGGAGCAGGACGAGGAGTCGGGAGAGGAGGAGGGCTCCTGGCCACTGGCGGCGTTCAGACTCTGAGCGCCCGCGCCGGGGTCCCAGGGACGTAATCATTGGAATGAGAAGAGGCGCCATGAAATCAGCCCCCGCCATGATTCGGGTCGGGCGAAAGGGGGGGATAGCAAAGGGGGGGTTTGAGAATCAGCTCACGTCGCTGATTTCCCGGCGCCTCCCGGCGCCGGAGGCGGCCATGTATCGAGGAATGGGCCCCTCGGTGAGGCCGAAACCAGCTGCATGCAGCAAATTTCGTACCCCCCCTTTCCCAATCCCCCCCTTTCGCCCGACCCGAATGATATCCATCCCCCCCCTGGTCATCAACCTCCTCCTGGCCGCCCCCGAACATCCGCTCCCTCGCGGCCTGGACTCCGGGGGCGGGATCCCGTGGATGCGCGGTCGCACGGGTGCGTCCTGCACGGTGCATCCGCGAGAAGGCGCCCCGTGTCCACCGGCTCGCGGCCCGGGGGCCCGGCCCACGAGGCCGTGGATGCTGAAGGGGCCCCAGGACACACAAATAAATACACACAAATAGAAATGGTCCCCATATTTTCCTATATTTTCTGGGTTTCTGTCTTCCCCCCCACTTCCCATGTTCTCTGGGGAATAGACGATTAATTGTGTCTGTGTGTTTCTTTTCCTCCTGAGATACGGATATGTGTTCCGCCGACGCAGGAGGGTAAGGAGATCATGAGGAGGAGCATCAGCTGCAACTGCAACTGATGGAGGCCAAGACGCGCACCGCGCCCGTCGGACCTCTGAGGCTCGCGCACCAGCGTTGGCGCCGCTGGCGTTCGTGAAGAAGCGCATCCCCTCGGAGTTCGTGATGGCCTGGCCGTCCCCCCACAGGATTCCTTTCTGAGCCGGGTCGGCGTCTGAGCTCATCTCGGTTGCCGAGTAGGCAGCGGGACAAGTGATCGGCCCCAGAAGGGAGATATGAACTTGGCCCGTTCGGCAGCCGAGGGGGCTCGGCCCTGGGGTCCGTACGGCAGACAAGTGGGCTCGGGCGCATGAGTTTCAAAGGTGCCATGGGCCCCAAAAGTGGTCCGAGGCTTGGTGGGCCCTAGAAACGGCAGGGCCGCCCCGTTGCCGTCTGCTGTGGTAAAACTGCATCCTGATACTGAAAGCAGCGAACTGTCCATCGAAACGGGATAAAACGGTTCACCGAAACGGCCGATGCGCCCAAACCAGTTCTTTTTCTAGCGTCTCGACTGTACCTTATGAGGCGGCCTGTGCGCAACCCTGAAGCCCTGGCCCGCGCCATCCTCCTAATGTCTGCTCCCGATCCTGCTGCCCACGGAGTCCGCCCCCCCCGCCCACCCCCCCGGCGGCCCCTCCACGAACGTCAGCTTGGGCTCGTAGGCGGTCCCGCTCTTCTTGCTGGTCGCGGCAGATGTGGCCCTGAGGACCGTCAGGACCGCCTGGGGGACCGGGCGCACTGTCGTCGACGTCGTCGTCCTCCTCCTCCTCCTCCTCCTCCTCCTGCTCCTGCTCCTCCTTCTGCTCCTCCTTCTCCTCCTCCTCCTCTTCCTCCTCCTCCTCCTTCTCCTGGTCATCATCATCATCGTCATCACCAGCATCAGCATCCTCATCAGCAACAAAACATCATCATCATCATCATCATCATCATCATCATCATCATCATCATCATCATCATCATCATCATCATCATCATCATCATCATCATCATCATCATCATCATCATTATCATCATCATCAGCATCATCACCATCACCATCACCATCACCATCAATCGTCGTTATACTCAACATGCTCACTTTCCTCATGTTCCTCCTCTTCCTCTTCTCCTCCCTGTCCTCTTCATCCTCCTCCTACCTGGCCTCCCCCTCTAACTCCTTTACCTCCGCATTCTTCCTCGCTCCTCCTCCTCCTCCTCCTCCTCTTCTTCTTCCTCCTCCTGATCATTGTCCTACTCCTTCACCTCCTGCTCGCTATCTGCTACTCTCCCGTCTCCTCCGCCCCGCCGCCCCCCTCCACCGACCACCCCCTCCTTCTCCCCCCCTCGTCCTCCTCTGACCTGTCCAAGCACCCTTCGAGCATCCTTTAGGAGCCCACGAGGACTCCATTGCAGCCCTGCAGACTGCCATAATCCCCCCCTGCTTCCTGCTCCAGCCCCTCTCCCCCTCTCCGGTCATGCAAGGATGGGCACACGCCAAGCAGCCATCACCAATCACCACCGTCAATCCTTCGCCGAGGCAGCATGCCAGGTACCCCAGACGCGAAGGATGTGCTGAGATCCTGCACAAGAACGTGCAACAAACACGAAGAACACAAAGGTACCCTCACCGAACCGACCTCGATCTTATACCTCGGTCCGACTGTCCGACGATGTCACAGAACACGTGCTCGAGAGACACATTACGTAAGACGAAGCCAGGGCGAGGATAAAACATCGGGACAGGATGAATCGAGAATCTCTGAGATCTGGCGGCACTGGAGGATGTCTCGGGCGCCGCGGCCTTCGCAACGCGTTCCAGAACGCTATGAGAGCGTTCTGGAACGCTCTTGAACGGATATATCCTCGTCCCAGCCCCGCCGGGTGACGGTCCTCTTCGAAACACTGGGTGCTTCCAATCGAGCACGGCCCTACCGTGCGCCATGCAGCGGGCTCCCCCACTCTCCGGGATAACACTGCGATCCAGGGTAACTCCAGCCTGGGCACCCGAGGCGCGATTCTGCAGCTACCCTGATGATGGACCGCCCCCCGGCCCTGATGACTCGGAGCTTCGAGGAGGCTCCCAGCCGAGCACGGCCCTGCCGTGCTCCGTGCGGCGTCTTCCCCGCTGATGCGGCTCCTCGGGGAGAGCGGGTGAGCAGCAGGGCGGCAGGCTCCCCGCTCGCACCGCTTCTTGGGAGGTAAGGGGCAGCAGGGCAGGGAGGAGGCGAAGACGGGAACTCGCGGAGGACGACACGCGTCTTCCGAGGCACGCGGCCCCCGAACGTCGCGCGCCCTGCAGCGTCATCGACGCTGGCCTGTGGGCGCTCGACCCAGCGAGACCTGGACGGGAATCCGGGAGGAGCGCCAATTACACACTGGCTCCGATCCTGGCCAGGCCCATCCTGGGACCACGATCGGTGTACAGTCAACCCGTATAGTAAGGACACGCGGTAAGGATGCAAGGGCACTGTGGGGTTGGCCAGCGAAAGATATCAACGATGGGCCGAAGGAGAAGAATGCAAGGGTAACCTTGGAAAGTTGCTCATCCTTACTCTGCGGGTTGACTGTAAACGCCCTCCTGTCTTGCCCAGGAAGGCACACACACACACACTCAACACACACACACAGACACACACACACACACACAGACACACACACACACACAGACACACACACACACACACACACACACTCCGATCCTGCGCCCAGGATTGGCCTGGCCAGCGTCAGTGCAGCTTTGTCCTTGAGATTCCCCGAACAGGGGGGGAGTCAGCCGGGGGTCCCTGGCCTGAACTTCATTTCGGACTCCAGGTCCTCCGCTCCCCTTCATCCTCCGTTCTCCCTCTGCTCATCCACCCCTCCCACCCATCCACCTCCTCCGCCACCTCCTGCTTCCCCTCTGGAAGAACGGAGTCGGCCTGCCATGCCGACGCACAGCTACGTAATTCCTCTCTAGCCAGTACGAGGTAACATTACGGAAGAAACATGTCTGCGACCAATGGCGGCCACGAGGAGGAAAAGATATGGGAGCGGACACATCAATATTACAAGCTCAGCGACAAAATCATGAAGCCGCTAGGCTACCCCAAATGTCGCGCACACGAGTGGAAGTGACGCGTCCAGCCAAATGAAGGGCTGTCCTGCGAACATTGCCCAAACTTGGCCTATATTATCAGTCAGCCTGCGAAGCAGTCTCAATATAAAAGGACGGAAGCGCGAGCGGTTGAAACGCTGAGGGCACATGCTCTGTGCCCTCTTCCTCTCTCTTCGTATCGCGTGCCCAACACAAGGAGGACGAAGAAGAGGAGGAGCGCTCGTGGCAACTGCCAGAGAGGTGCACGAAGGGGAGACAGTACAAGACGAGTGGCCACGCCCAGGCGACGGTGAACGGTCGATCGCTCTCTGGTTACATCCTCTGCCGAAGCGACGCGTCCACCGATAGCGAATGCGATCGCATGAGCTTAAGCTCTCAGCGGATGGGTTCTCGCATAGCCAGCGTTGCCTCGCACTTGCAGTTCTTGCTCAACGAATGTCGCATGAGCCTCCAAGCGGCGATGGAGCAGGTGAACCTCGGACATGAGAGTCACCAAATCGATTGCCTTCGCGCTTCCGTGGATACGAACGCACCCCAGGACGAACTGCTCCGGGTCGATGGCACCCGTCCTCTCCACGTCCAGGAGGTGAAACAGCGCCTCGGCATCCTCCGCGGTGAGGCCCATCTCCTCGAAATACGACTGCACATGCGGAGACTCGAGCTGCTCCTTGAAGTCGTCGAGTCGGATCGGGCCCTCGTCCTTCCTTATGGAGGCAACCAGCCTCCCGAGCGTATTGAGGAGGTTCTGCTTGTTCTTCAAGGCAGACAGAGCCGAGTCGACAAATATGCTCGTGATTCGCAGACATTTTGAGTCACCAGGCGCGTTGGTGTGAGATTGCTCTCCCCCTTTTCACCCCCACCACGGGGCCCGAAATTTCAGGTTTGGGGGGGGGGGGAGGGGAAAGGCACAGTTGCTTTGACGTTCCCCGACACTCCCTGAGCTCCAAGTCCTCCCAAGATCCCCGAGGTGGCCCCAAAAATTCACCTCGACCGTTCAAGTTTGCCTCGAAAGCAGCCATAATAATCCCAAGACAGCCAAACGCTGCCCAAAGACGAACCGACTGCCTCCCAAGATGCCTCAGAAAGGTCCCAACAGTTTGCCCGCGAGAACCCACCAAAATACCCCGAGTATTGCTCCTTATTCACACAGACTGGCTTCCGAACAACCCGAGGTCGCCTCAAGACGAGGCGAGACAGCCCGAACATGGTCCCTGGAGCGGCTCTGGACCCCGCCGAAGGGAGCCCCAAGGCGGTCCAGGAAGGGGCGCCCGACGTCCCAACATCGCCCCAAGGCCCAGAGCAGCTCCAAGAGCACCCTCTGGCTCCGGAGCGCTCGACCAGGCACCCAAGCAGCCAGCAGGTCCCTGAAGACGCCCCGCAACAGCCCCACTGCAATCCTTCACCATGATCCCCACGCGCCGCTCCGGATTCCAAAGGGTACCTGTCCGCCGGCCCCTTGTGGGTCCAGGCGTGTGAGATTGTTCCCCCCCATAACCCCCCCAAGGATTTCAAACCAGAGATTTGACCCCCCCCCGGGCCCAGGACGAACGCGTCATGGGAGCATACATCCCCAGGGCGATTTTTTCCTCTTGGCTCCGGACCGACGGTGTGCCCCGTATGAGATGACCGCCGTCGGATCCCATGAGATTCGCGCGGATCCAAATGTGGCTTTGGTGTTTGTTTCGGTGGATCCCATTTCCGTCCGCGCGGATCCAATTTCGGACTAGCTGGATCCGTGTCCACTCTTATCTTGTACGGCAGATCCGATTTCTACCCCGTTTTAGGTTTATAGGTTTATATGATTCAATTTAAAAGGGTACTGGAAGAAATCGGATCCGCGGACCCCTTAACCCACCCGTATTAAGATTCTACAAGGGAAACGGGGGTCGGTCATGAACGTCCAACTCATGATCGCAATTTGCACCTCGCGAAGAAAATCCTACGTCCTGCGTAAGTGCGTTTCGGCCCTGCGTCTCCTCACCCAGCAGACTGCCTGTGAGATGTGGTGTGTCGGCTGTGTGGTTACCAACAACAAACTGCCCGTGAGATGTGGTGTGTCGGCCATGTGGCAACCAAGAAGTCCGAAGGCCAAAACGCCCAGTGCGTTTCGGCCCTGCGTCTCCTCACCCAAAGGACTGCCTGTGAGATGTGGTGTGTCGACTGTGTGGTTACCAACAACGGACTCCCTGGGAGATGTGGTGTGTCGGCCATGTGGCAACCAACAAGTCCGAAGGCCGAAACGCCCAGTGCGTTTCGGCCCTGCGTCTCCTCACCCAAAGGACTGCCTGTGAGATGTGGTGTGTCGGCTGTGTGGTTACCAACAACGGACTGCCTGTGAAATGTGGTGTGTCGGCTATGTGGTAAGCAACGAGTCCGACGGCCAAACCGCCCAGTGCGTTTCGGCCCTGCTTCTCCTCACCCAACGGACTGCCTGTGAGCTGTGGTGTGTCGGCTATGTTGTTACCAACAATGGACTGCCTGTGAGATGTGGTGTGTCGGCTATAGTCCGAAGGCCAAACTGCCCATCCCCAGGACGACGGTTTTCCCCTCTTGGGCCCGGAACGACGGTGTGAAGTCCAGAGCAGACCCGTATAAGATAACCGCTGTCGGATCCCAGAAGTTCGAGCGGATCCCAATGTGGTTTTGGCGTTTTTTTTCGGTGGATCCGATTTCCGTCCGCGCGGATCCGATTTCAGATCAACTGGATCCGTGTCCGGTCTTATTTTTTAAGCGGATCCGATTTCTACCCCCGTTTTAAATTTAGATCATGAAGAAACTGGAAGAAATCGGATCAGCGGACCCAGAACCCACCCTTGTTTAGATTCTACGGGGGAAAGGGGGTCGGTCATGAACGTCCAACTCATATCAAGAAGAAAATCTTTCGACCTGCGTAGGTGCGTTTCGGCCCTGCGTCTCCTGACCCAACGGACTGCCAGTGAGATGTGGTATGTCGGCTGTGTGGTTACCAACAACAAACTGCCCGTGAGATGTGGTGTGTCGGCCATGTGGCAACCAACAAGTCCGAAGGCCCAAACGCCCAGTGCGTTTCGGCCCTGCGTCTCCTCACCGAAAGGACTGCCTGTGAGATGTGGTGTGTCGACTGTGTGGTTACCAACAACGATTGCCTGTGAGATGTGGCATGTCGGCTATATGGTAACCAACAAATCCGAAGGCCAAAATGCCCAATGCGTTTCGGCCCTGCGTCTCCTCACCCAACGGACTGCCTGTGAGATGTGGCGTGTCGGCTGTGTGGCTACCAACAACGGGCTGCCTGTGAGATGTGGTGCGTCGGCTATGTGGTAACCAAGAAGTCCGAAGGCCAAACCGCTCAGTGCGTTTCGGCCCTGCGTCTCCTCACCCAACGGACTGCCTGTGAGCTGTGGTGTGTCGGCTATGTTGTTGCTACCAACAATGGACTGCCTGTGAGATGTGGTGTGTCGGCTATATGGTAACCAACGAGTCCGAAGGCCAAAACGCCCATTCCCAGGACGATTGTTTTTACTCTTGGGCCAGGGACGACCGTGTGAAGTCTAGAGCAGACCCGTATGAGATAACCGCCGTCGGATCCCATGAAGTTCGCGCGGATCCAAATGTGGCTGTGGCGTTTGTGTCGGTGGATCCGATTTCCGTCCGCGCGGATCCGATTTCGGATTAGCTGGATCCGTGTCCTGTCATATCTTTTTACGGCGGATCCGTTTTCTACCTCGTTTATACTTTAGATTATTAAGGAACCAGAAGAAATCGGCTCTGCGGACTCTGGAACCCACCCGTGTTGAGATTCTACGGGGGAAGGGAGTTCGGTCATTAACGTCCAACTCATCATCGCCATTTGCACCTCAAGAAGAAAATCTTTCGCCCTGCGAGAGTAGAGGGCCCAAAAACCAGCCAAGAGGCCCCCAAGTGGGCCCAAAGACGATCCAAGAGGGCCCCGAATCGTCGAATGATCGTTCCAAAGCGCCCAAGATGGTATCCAGACGGCCCAAGATGCCTCCAAACCGCCGCAAGAGGCCTCCAAGAGGCCTCCCAAAAGGCACCGAAGAAATGAAAATTGCCCTATTCCCGTGGGAAAGCGTATGGTGTAAACATGTTCGCCTCTTGCGCTTTCATACCGTGCACGACGGCCCAAAAGATCCCTAGGACAGCTCCAAGACGGCCCACAAAGGTTTCAAGACCGCCAAAGAAGCCCCGATGACGGCCCCAGAGGACCCCCCGACTGCGCCAAAAGGGAGTCCACGGGGGGAATCCGAACCCACATTTCCAGCCTTCGGCCCCAGGACGCCCCCAGGTTGCCTCAAGACGCCCCCCACACGCCCCAAGAAGACCTCAGGGAGCCCGAACAGAGCCCCCAAACGCCTCCAAGAACCTCCCAGGAATCGGACAAGCCTCGTGGAATGCAGTCCTGGACGCACAGTAATTTATAGAGGGGTCGGCGGATGTGGCGTAAGCCTAAAGAATCAGAGGGTGAGGGGGGCAAACCGCCTTGACGAAACCCCAGCGGTCTGCCGCATTTCCCCTGCCCTAGGCTTTTCTTTCCCCTCCCTCCTCCTGTTCTCTCCATCCTCCCTGTCCATCCCTACTCAGTTTCCCCCCCTCCGCCCGTTTTCGTCGCTCCTCTCTGTCGCCTCCCTCCCGCTTCGCTGTCGAAGAAGAGCTAACGCAGCGCAAGAAACAGCAACCACAAGCAACTGCAATATGCAACACAAAACACCAGCAAAAAGCGCCAGCCCGCAGCAACAATAACAGGCACGGGCATCTGCAGAGCCACCCTAAACGGTTCCCTGGTCATCCTCTTCCTTTCCAACGCCTGTGAGGCACAACGACTGCCTCAAAATCCGCCACCGTGCTCTGGGCGTGGAGCGTGCGTGCTCTCGGGTCCTTTCCCCCATCCCCTGAGCCTGTCCTCTGTCCTGAAGAATATTCAGGGGGCCTGGACCCAAAGTTGACAAATCTTCTGGGGCGTAGCGCGATTCCCCTTGGGCTCGCCGCATCTTGTCGCGTGACTTTTTTGGACCCCAGAAAGCCCCAAGACGGGCCAACAGGGCCCCAAGGGGCCGCTGATACGATCCAACAGGGCCCCGTGACGCCCAAAGATCGCTCCAAGATGCCCAAACTAGCCCCAAGACGGCCAACGCGGGCGCCAAGACACCCCAAGAGGCATCGAAGAGGCCTCCCAAGAGGGCCCAAAGGGGCCAAAACCGTTGACGTTTAATGGTTATTCCCTGCCTAGGCTCTGCCTAGAAGGGTTCTTACTCTGTTAGCTTAAAGGGGCCGGGCAGTGGGGCTCGCCCCGGGCGGTTCCCCCAGTACCCGCCCCGCGGTTCCCCCAGTCCCCTGGGAACTTTAGCTTTAGCTTTAGCTTTAGCTTAGCTTAGCTTTAGTTTAGATTTAGCTTAGCTTTAGCTTAGCTTTAGCTTTGCGTTAGCTTAGCTTTAGCTTTGCGTTAGCTTAGCTTTAGCTTAGCTTTAGCTTAGCTTTAGCGTCGCTTTAGCTTCGCGTCAGCTTAGCTTCAGCTTAGCTTTACTGTTACTAAAATAGCCCCAAGAGGGCCCCAGGAGAGCCCCAAGAGGCCCCAAGAGCCCCCAGCATCAACAGGGAGGCCCCCAAGAGGCCGCCCAGTATCACCAGGGAAGCCACCCAGAGGCCTCCAAGATGCCCAACAGAGGCCCCAAAGGCTCCAAAAGGGTCCGAAGAGGCTTCAAAAATGCTTCTAAAAGGCCCCCGAGAGGCCAACCGCCAGATCGCAACCATTGTCCAGGAGGCCTCTGACCTGCGCGGTGGCGGGATGGGCCGAAGGCCACTAGGTATCCGCCGCCCCCTGCTTGCAGGGGTGCACGGCGTGCTGGACGAGCTGTTAGGTTTTGGTTTTGGTTCTTTTTCTAAAAGAACTCCCCAGTGGGCTCCGGCAGAACCCGCCGGCCACCCGGAATTTTCCCAAACGTGCTCAACGACCGCAACAAATCCTCCAAGAACGGCCGTTTCGCTCGGGACATCCTCAAAACATCGCGAAGATGGCCCAAAATGGCCTCCAAGTCCGCCCGAGATGGTCCAAGACGGCCTCCAAGACGGCCCAAGAGAGTCCAAGACGGCCCAAGACGGCCCAAGAGGCCCCCCAGAGGCCTCCCAGACGGCCCAAGAGGCCTCCAAGAGGTCCTCCAGGAGAGTCCGAAGAGGCCAAAATCATTGATTTTCCTTGGTTTTTGAAGGATTCTTGGCATTTGCGCCTTTTCGGCTCTCCGACGGCTCGAGACGGCCCAAGAAGCCCCCAAGATCGCCCAAGAGGCCCCCAAGAGAGCCCCATGATGGCCCAAGTGGCCTCCAAGATGGCCCCTAGAGGGCCCCAAGACGGCCCAAGAGGCCTCCAACACGCCCAAGATGGCCTCCAAGACGCCCAAGATGGCCTCCAAGACGGCCCTGGAGCGCCCCAAGAGGGTCCCCCGTTGGCCCAGAAAGGCCCCCAAAACGGCTCCCGACGGCGTCAGACGTGCCAGGAACCCACCAAGATGGCCGAAGTTGGCTCGAAGCTGGCCCAAAAGGGCCCAAGAGGCCCCCAAGAGGGCCTCCAGGAAGGCCAAAAGATGCCAAAATCACTGATTTTCCATTTTTTCGGCCTTCCGACGGCCCGAGACGGCCCAAGAGCCCCCAACGATCGCCGAAAGATCGCCCAAGAGGCCTCCAAGACGGCGGCGATGACCATCAAGACGCCCACGTGTTCCCCGAAGGCTTTCCAAACCGATTCGGGGAACACATGGTCCGATGGCTTGGCAGGTCTGGCCTCAACGTTCGGCCACATAGGCGCTTCCACAAAGGCAGGGGGCGGCGGTGATTCGCCGTAGGCGTCTTCGATCAAATGGGTAGGTGGATGTCACCAGAAGAACCACATTCGACAATCCTCAAACTCTCGCAGGGGCTCCCAAGACAGCCCGCGATGGCCCCAAAGCCCCCCCCCCAGCGGCCCCAAAACATCCACACCAGCATCGACCTGTGGTCTCTCCTCATGCGCCACACCATCTCCGCTAGATCATGCCAACAATATACTTGACAAGATAACTGATGCATGCTCTAGGCGCTGAAACAGCCGCGTCCAGGCGGTCAAGTCATCCATATGCTCTTCCGGCTGAACTTTGGCATTCCCTTGCCAAGGTTTCTCGCAACCCTGGACACGAACATCACATGTACTACGATCAAGTGTCCTGCACTTCGGACATGGCGATTCTGGCTGTGCTTCATTGACTTCGGCATCGGCGTCCAGCGGCATACAATACACGCTGGGGGGGGGTGCGCCAGTCGCACCGCCACTGGGCCTAAGAGAGCCACCCAGGCCAGCCACCCGGACGGCACCATGAGACCCCCGACACGACCCAGGAGCAGATGGAAGGCTGGTCTGGCCGTATCCCCTGCGAAGCAGTGCGCATGACGTTCAACAGTGCTAATACCGCAAAAGATACGTAGAAGCATAAAAGCAATGCCATGGCTGGAGAGTTCTGGGCGAAGAGCGGGTCGATCAGGACACACCAGCTAACTCCACCAGTGATTGCCTGGTAGAGGGACAACATCGAACGAAAAAGGGAGCCGTAATACTTGTGAGCATCCGTACCCACTGCCACCGAGTCTGGATCGTCCTCGGCGAGGTCAGCTACAACCTGTGTAAAGCAGATGCTTGCGCTGTAGATCATCAGGACGAGGAGGGCCACCGTCCAAACCAGGGAGGGCATATTATTACCGATCGATGCGACCAGGGTGCGAAGCTCATGTATCATGCTCAACACTCTCATCAACCGCAAGACGCGCAACAGCCGCAACACCCGCAATATGCGCAAGAAGCTGAAGCCCGTATTCTGGGCAAGTGGGTCCTGCTGGCTGTTGGCAATGTACGTGGTGATCTCCTCGAACACCTGCAGGCTGACCACGATAAGATCAAAGTAGTTCCAGGAGCAGCCGCGCATGAAGAAGAACGCGGCCCCGTATCCCAGCAGGCGCAGCGCCAGCTCCAACACGAAGATGCCCGCAAAGATCTGTGCCGCGACCTGTAGCAGCATCGGCTCCCGGTCGCCGCCCTCGCGCGTCGCGCGGGCGGCGAAGTCGGCCTGCACCCCCATCAGCGCCGCGTTCAGGAGTATCAGCAGGCCCATCAGGAGGTCGAACTCCGTCTGCTCCACAAGCTTGAAGGCACCCTGGCGGATGGACGCCAGCCAGGGGCAGCGCGTGCTGCCCAGGCTCCCGTATATCCAGCTCCTCCGGGGCTTCGAGCGCGCGCGGGGCCGCTGGCGGCTGAACATGTGCGCAGCGAGCGACGGCTGCTGCGCTGCCCTCGCGGGCAGCCGCTGCTCTTGGTGGTGCGCGGCCCTCTCCGAGTGTACCGAGTGGCTGGGCGGTGGAGGCGCCAGGGCAACCTCCGTCGCGCTGCCGATCACAAGGGTCTCCTCCGGACATTTGGGGCGCGGGGGGGCCCAAACACACGCACACACACACACACACACACACACACACACACACACACACACACGCCGCTGCTATCACATCGCGCTCAGCGATCGGGGGACCACTGACTACCTACCAGACCACCCCAACCCAACCCGAAGACCCGAATTTCGGGTTGGGGGGGGGTAAGGGTCCCACACGTGTTTTTTCTATGTTTCCCGACCCCCCCCCACTGGAAATCGAGGGTAAATCTGAGCCTTCGGGTTGGGTTGGGGTGGCTTGGTGGGTGGTGAACCACTGGGCCCCACCAACGACCACTCCAATCAAGGAGTCACTCTTACGCTTGGTGTTGCAAACGTAGCAAGAAACATGGATCTCCAAAAAGTACGCTATCCCTGTGAGGCGATCCCCACGCGAGGGCCCCTTTTGCACACGATACCCCCCCGGGAGGCCCTCGTCGGTGCACGATATTCCCCTGCCAGGACATCTTCGGTGCACTCCATCCCCAAGGTGGGGGATAGCGTGTAAGAAGTGAGCCGGCGGCGCCGTATCGCACGCCATCTCTGCGACGCCACCCGTACGTGTAGCGGCGACATGTCCGGTCCTTCGTCCACCCCGGGCACGGGTGCTCCGTGTGCGAGCCCGCAACTGCCGAGGCAGCCGCGCTGCTGCACAGAACCGCCGCCACGCGGGCGGAGGCCGTGGACTGGAAGCCGCCAGCGCCGCTCGGCGCGTGCCCGCCGTCGCCGAGGGCCTCGGCGCGGAGGCCGGGTGCCGCCGCCGCGGCGGCGCGCGGCGGTGGCGGCCCGCCGCCAGGCTCGGGCTCGCGAGGCCGGGCGACCTGCTGGCATGATGCATATACACCTATCCACTGCGTCTCGGAGTTTCGGGCTCCCTTCCCCAGGAACCAGGAGGCGCGGTGGAGATGGACAGGGATCTGGCCCCCAGAGGCTGGACTTCTATCCATGTCCGCTGCGCCTCGGCCTGTTGGCGCCCCTTCCCAGAAAAGTCCAAGACGCAGATGTGGATACAAATCTTGCCCGCGCGTCCTGCGTGAAGAGGCGGGACGCGAGCTCCCGCAGCGAGCACGCATCCTCGAGCGGCGGCGGCCTGGCGGCGCGCCCCGCCGTCGCCTTGGGCGCCGCCAGCGCGCGGCGGAGCTCCTCGCACACGTCCCTGCGTACCCCCTCGCGCAGCTCGCTCAGGCTGGCCTGCAGCAGGTCCTGCAGCTCGCCCAGCTCGCAACGCCAGAGGCCCGAGGGGGCCTCCGGCGGGAGGGCGTGCTGCGCACCCACGGCGCCGCTGTTCCCCGCGCGCTCGGAGGCACCGCCGACCGCCTCCGGTTGCGAGCCTGGCGGGCACGCCATGGGTCCCGCACGGCGGTGGTCGGCGGCTGGCGGTCGGCGCAGGTGCGTGCGCCGCCCACACCAATTGGGATTGAACCAGGTAGGGCAGCGCGTGAGCAGGGCCAGGCCGCTGGGACTGTGCGAACGAGTCGTGCCTGAAGCCTCGCGCGGATCGTGCCCCACAGGGGACTCCACCTGCGGCCCCAGCGGGCAAGTTCGCATAGCGCCTGTCTGCCTCGAAGTGCTTGCTCCGCAGTCCCAAATCTGTACTGCCCCGCGGCGCACAACGTAGGAAGACAGGACCACGCCCTGCACAACGAGCAGCTGCATGTAGAGGTGGACCCTGGAAGATAAAGAGCTTCCCTCGCCGCTGGGACAGCCAGACCGCCCCTTTTGCGGGGGGATTCGAGTCGATGCTGGTGGAGAAGGCATCTTTTCCCACGTGGATAAACAGGTCGCTCCCATGTATGACCTCAGACATCTACAAGAGCAATGGAGCAATGAATCGCAGACAAAAGTGAGGTGCAGCAAAGTGCCCGCGACGCGCCTCGAGGCGCTCAGCCCCCTCGTTCCTGCCTCCACGAACCCAACTCTGCAAACGTATGCTCCCCTCCTCCTTGTCATCGTCATCACCTCTCCTCATCCGCCTCTCCTCCCTTCTCCCTCAGACTCTCGCCCCGAGAAGATGCTTATGATAAACATGTATGACCCCTCCTCCTCGTCCTCCTCTCAACTCCGCCGCCCCGAGACCAGAGAATATCCTTGTGGTATACATGTATATCTGTATATGTATTCCTATTCTTATATTTTTATTACCCGGGACCCCCCCCCCACCCCCCCCCCGGACCCCCCCCCCCTAAACCGGATCCTCCTCCAAAGGACGACCGGGACGCCCTTTTCGGACGGTTCGGGGGCCCCTGGACGCCCCTGGAAAAGGTTCGCTGGCCTTTCCGGGCCTCCCCGGGCGCATTGACAGGCCTTGCGAGCAGACTCAAGGCGATTAGAAGGGTCATCGGAGAGGAGCAAAATAGACTCAAGACAGCACACGGGCGCTTCAAGAGGCCCCCAAAACGCCCCAAAAGGCTGTTCGGAGAACCCCAAAGCAGCAAAAACGCGCCATTCCCTCGGGAAAATAAGCATTTTCTGCATACCCGCTTTGTTGGCCTTTGCAGCGTCCAATTCTGGCCCGATGGGCCACCGATATCGCCCCAAGACGGCTCAAGAGGCGCTCCACATGGCTTCACGACGGCCCACGAGGGCCCCAAGACTGCCCCAGAAAGCCTCGGACTGCCCACAAAAGGCCCAGACGCCCCAAAAAAGCTCCCAAGAGAGACCCAAGAAACCCACGGGAGATCCCCAGGAAGGCCTTCGGAGGCCCCCAAGAGGCCCAAAATGGCTTCCGAAGACTTCTGGAGGGAACCAGCTACCCACAACGGCCCAAGAAGGCCCCAAGACGGCCCCCAAAAAACACCAAAACACCTAAACGCGGTCCTCCTGCGAAATGCATCGAGCTCACCCGACTCTCTTCGTTCCACGCTTCAGGCTCGCGGTCCCCATTCCTAGATCGAGAGAGACAGGCAAGGGATACATATTCGAATTTCCACGATCCAAGATTTCCTGAATGTCAGGGAGCGACCACAAATCGATTCGTTCCGACCTATTGCGAGTTCTTCGGCGTGTCATGGGAAGACTCCTCACTTTCTCAACGGATGAGCTCAACACCCGGAGGAGGCGGAAGAGGAGGTAAGGAGGACAGAATGAGTAGGGAGACCCCTTCGAATTGGCAGATCAACAACCAAACGCAACTCCTCTCCATACCTTCCCCCATGACGGGCGGAACACACAGGAGGAGGTTAACGGGGGGAGCTAAGACATGGAACGACGATGAATAGGAAAGCATGCCTGCGCACAAGCGTGCAAGTGCATCGGACGAGGGCGGTGTCAGCAGGCGCCGGTCGCCCGTGCAGACCCTCAAGTCCCTATGCTACCACAAGCGATGATTGATTGTTTTGCCAGAGAAGCGTCTGGAACAAGGCGCATGGCGCGAAGCGCCAACACTGCTCTGGCGCTTCGCGCCACACACCTTGGTCCTCCAAACCTCGCATATGTTGGCACTTGGCGCCATCCTCTTTGGACTTTGAAATTTGGCAGTTTGCTTTCAAGTCTCCTTACCTGGACCTGGTTTGCTCGTGCCCTCGATTCACATGCTCGTGACCCACCCAAATTGCTCTCGGGGTGCGTTTTGATGCGAATCTCGAGGCGGGCCCGATGACGTGGCTACGAGAACGCCACCTGGAGACTCCAGAGAAAAAATTGAACCAAAATCGCGTACCTTCTTTGTTGACTCCTGCGCTGGCAGGTGTCATGAAGGCCTGCGCGTCGGTTTTTGACACCGCTTGCATCGTTCAACCGAGAACAATCGCGCATTCCCGTTCAACACCGGCCGATTCCTGACTACTGTTCGCGTTCATTCCGAACGCCCGCGCCGGTGCCAGCGCCGCGTCTGCGCGACATAGGCCTGCCGTTCTGGAGGCAAACAGGGTTCCTGGGGGTCGTTTTCTCTACTCCAAGATTTGTTTTTCAGGCCCTCTGGGTTGCAGCGGCTGCTGGAGGCCGACGTCGAACCAAAACCTCCGAATATTGCAGCTCCAAGGAGCCTGGCGGTTACCAGCGACTCCCAAGGAGATACAACCAACAAATATATGAGCCATCGTGGACCCCGAAGAGTAAGGTGTTGAACTCTGGCGGTGGAAGTTCTGCGGCTTAAACTATGTGATGTGAGCTACGCTGTGGCAGCTATGGGGTGAAAGTTCTTCGTTGTTAGCCATGTGGTGGAAACTGTCGCCTCGCCCTCGCCTGGCGTTGCGAACCATTCCCCGTCTGCCGCCTGTTTTGTTGCTCAGACTCTTCGTTGGAGAACCTCTTGGGGGCCTCATGAATGCCTTTCAAGGGCTTTGGGGACCTCATTCTGGGGGAATTTAGGCCCTCTACGGGCCTTCTTGGGGCCATCTTGGGCCCTCCTGGGGACCTCCAATGGCCCTCGTGGGTCTCTCTTGGGACCCTCGGGCCTCGTGAGCTTCTTTTGGGCCGTCTCGGGGCAATCTTGGGGCCCCCCTGGGCTGTTTTGAAGCCCTGGGGGCCTCTTGGGCCGTCTTGGGGCGATCTCGGAGGCCTCTTGGGCCGTCGTGAACGCTGCGACACAAAGGCGAATATTCTGAAAATGCATGTTTTCCCCAGGGAATGGGCAGATGTTGTTTGCCTGTGTTTTCCTGAAGGCCTCTTGAGGCGTCTTAGGGGCCTATTGGGCCGTCTTGGGGGCCTGGGCCGTCTTGAGGCCGTCTTGCGCTGTCTTCGGGCTCTCCTGCGCCTCTTCGACCGCTTTCTGATCGCTTTGGGTCTGCTGGGCAAGGCCCGGCAAGGCGCCCTGGAAGGCGCAGCAAGGCTGGGGGACCTTCCAAAGGCGCCCAGGGGTCCCCAACGAGTTTACCCCCCCCCCCCTGGCTTGCAAAAATATAGGACGAGGGATATTATGATACACCTCTCGCAGATGCCTTTTTAGGCAGGTATACGGAGTGACATTTTTCAACACGGATTCTCTGGGGAAGCCAAGTGCGCCCCGTTGTTTACCTGTCCCTCCCCCGCCGCCTGGCGTGGCAACAAGACTCGCCGCACCCTTGAAATAAAGAAACATGGTGTATATATATATATATATGACAACCTACTAGAACATCCCATCCCAACCCAGGCCGAAATCCCAAATTTCAGGTTGGGGAGCGTACGGGTTCCATACGTGTTGCTTCAATGTTCCGGGACGCCCTCCTCCTGAGAATGGAGGGCAACTTAGGGCCTTTGGGATGTGTTAAGGTGGTTTGGTGGGTAGTGACGACAGACAATCATCCCAGAATGGCGCCCCCTCCGTGAACGATCACTTTGTACTGACATGAATGTGCACACCTTTGGAGTGGTCGCTGCTCCCTGACTCCCCACGTCGCAAAAATATCACGTCGACAACAATATCACGACTGGGGCTCTCGACCCCACCCTGCTGCCGAATTTTCAAAGCTGTATCGATTCGTGGTGACCCCAAGGTCCAGTGCAAGTCGAAAACCCTGGTCGTGCTCAATTCCCGATGCTCGGACGGCCACACCGTTGCTCCAAACAATCGCTCGGAGCGCTGGTGCAACCGTTCTGCTGCAATCGTCTGGCAGAAAGCTGCTGCTGCAAGGGGTCCCGAGGCGCCGCCAGGGGGGTCCCAACGCCGATCCAAGAAATCTGCGCAGGCCTCAAAAAGTTCCAGCTTATGTAGATGTTGTCTCCTTCGGCTCACCCCCCACCATCCCCAGGCATCTGGCGCTCTAATTGTTGTCGATGCGTGGACCCCGGAGTTCTGGACCACCACCGGGCCAGGCCGGTGGAGGGCCGCCAGGGCCGCAAATATGGCCCAAAGCCAGCCGCTCCATTCTTTTAGGAGCCTCGGCTCTCTTGGCCCCCCGCCGCAGACTTCCAGGCAGCGCCGGGCAGAGGAAGGCCCGAACTCCATCGCCCAACCGCCCTCCGCCCGCAGACTCATCCCGGAAGCGAGCGCGCGGGCCCCCGGCAGGGACCCCCGCCCGCCTACTGTCGGCCGCTTCGAGTCGGCGTGGCCGCCGCTGCGGAGAATCGGAGCATCGGAGAGGGGAGGCGGTGCCGCCACGCGGGTGGGGGGGGGGAGGGGGGGGGCGCCTCAACCTCCGTGGCCCTCACGGCCTCCTCCTCGGACAGCCTCACGGAGGAGCCTGCCCGGCCCCAGGTGGAGTCGGGGAAACAGGAGGGAGGGAAGCATACATGTGGAGGAGAAGGGAGGAGGATAAAGAGGGATAGAGAGAGGGGGGGGAAGCAGGAGGAGGAGGAGGAGGAGGAGGAGGAGGAGGAGGAGGAGGAGGAGTAGGAGGAGGAGGAGGAGGAGGAGGATGCCCGAGGCTTAGGCGCGCCCCGTCTCTCCGCGGCGGGCCAGCACGCTCGCGCCCCGCGAGCGCAGTGGC